TTAAAAAGCATCATTTCTCAAAAAAGCTATCCTTCCTCCATTGAACTGCTTTTGCACCTCTGTCAAAAATCAATTGGGCATATTTGTGTGCATCTATTTCTGGGTTCTTTATTCTGTTCCATTGATCTATGTGTCTATCCCTCTGTCAATACCACAGTCTTGATTACTGTCACTAAAAAGAAAGTCTTAAAATAGGGTAGAGAGACTACTTAGAATTCATTCTTCCTTTTTAAAATTGTTTTCTCTATTTTGGTTTCTGTGCCTTTATATATAAATTTTAGAACAAGCTTGTGTGTATCTATAAGAAATCTTGCTGTGATTCTAATAGGAATTGCATTAAACCTATAATCATTTTGGGGAGAACTGACATCTTTACTATGTTGATTTTTTCCAATCCATTAATGTCTTTCCATTAATGGATCCTTAGATCCTCTTTCATTTCTTTCATCAGCAGTTTGTAATTTCCAACATACAGGTCCTCTACATGTTTAATTAGGTTTATACCTAGTCACTTCATTTCTGGGGAGACTGACTATCAATGGTGTTATGCTTTTAACTTTGATCACCATATGATTATGGCTAATCTATAGAAATATGATTGATTTTGTGTATGTGTCTGTCTTGTATCCTGTGACCTTGCTGAACTCACCTACTAATTATAGAAGGGGGGTGTGTGTGTGGGTGGGTGTGTGCATTCCTCAGGATTTTCTACATAGACAATTGTGTTATCTGAAAGTGGGGGCAGTAGTATACCTTTCTTTCCAATCTGTATGCCTGTTATATTACTTTCTTGCCCTACTGCACCGGTTAGGACTTCCAGTCCTCTGCTGAGTAAGAGTGGTAAGAGTGGTAAGAGCAAACACCCTCAACTTGTTCCTAGTCTTAGAAGGAAAGCATTTAGTCTTTTACCCCAATTATGATGTTAGCAGTAAACTTGGCATTTCCACCCTTGGCCAAGTATCAAAGAGGAAGTTTTCTGAACATAAAGTTTAAAGGAACATACATCTGAGAGTAAGTAGAGTAAGTTGCTTTTCTTGACTAGTGTCTACCTCCTTCCCTCATACAACAATGCTTTTTCTCTCAGAGGAAGACGACCTTCCGCCACCATTTATACAGTTCCAGTGCAATAGGCACATGAGTAAGTTCTGGTCAATTCATCCATCCTAGCCTCTGGACCAAGTAGTTAGTCTAATAAAATCCAAATAAAGAACGTTCTTGGAATGATTAGATAAAAGCTCTCTTTCCACTAGACTTACAGATCAGGGATCAACGAACTATGTATGGCCCATGACCCAAATCAAGCCAGCCACCTGTTTTCGTAAATAAAGGTTTTTATTTTTTTTGAGACAGAGTCTCGCTCTGTTGCCCAGGCTGGAGTGCAGTGGCCGGATCTCGGCTCACTGCAAGCTTCGCCTCCCAGGTTCACGTCATTCTCCTGCCTAAGCCTCCCGGGCAGCTGGGACTACAGGCGCCCGCCACCTCGCCCAGCTAGTTTTTTTGTATTTTTTAGTAGAGACGGGGTTTCACCGGGTTAGCCAGGATGGTCTCGATCTCCTGACCTCGTGATCCACCCGCCTCGGCCTCCCAAAGTGCTGGGATTACAGGCTTGAACCACCGCGCCCAGCCCTGTAAATAAAGTTTTATTGAAACAAGGCTATACCTATTCATTTACATATTGTCCATGGCAGCTTTTTAGCCACAGCAGCAAAGTTAGTAGCTGCAAATGCGACCACATGGCCCACAAAGCCTAAAATACTATCTGGACCATTACAGAAAAAGGTTACTGCCCCCTGTTTTTAATAAGAAGACGTAAGCTTGGAATGAATAGTAAGGAAGCATCTCACCACTCTATGAAAAGAACATGTTGGAAAATGAAGCCAATACAAAAGAGGAAACCAACTCCAAATATTATGTAAGTTCCCGGATTCGGATGAGCCACAGACTATTAGACTCCAATATTTTTCAGTTATGTAACCCAATAAGTCCAGCTTTTCCTCAAGTTTGAATTGAGTTTCCTACATTTGAATTAAAATAATTCAAATTTTAATTCAAATGTACTACATAAAATCCATAATGCTTATTGTAGGAAGACAATTCTAATTTCTTCCTCTATTATACGCCCATCAACACCATAAAGATATTCAACATTTCTTTAGACTAAGATATGACTGTGTATTTAAAAAAAAGTATGATTTAATGCCAAAACTAAATTTAACATTTAAAAATGAAATGTTGCAAAATCAACTGATTTGGGGCTCATTTAGCTTTTCTTTGTTTTTCAACCAACCATCCTAAGGTATTATTGGACAATGAAAGAACAAAAGAATAGAAACTAAAAGTAACCCCCTCCAAAAAAACAAAACAAAACAAAACCGCCAACACCAAATAATCCATCAAAGAACAACTGAGATAGAAGTATAAAACAGAAGATAGTTGCCACTGTTAACATCTCCCTGAAGTAAGGCAACCACACTAACACCGACTAGAGGAAGAGCTAACTAGAGAAATCCAAAGCTCCCACAGGGACAGATTTAACTAATTAGGGAGATGGTGATTAAAGCTGGAGCTGCTAATTGTCTACTGGCCATGTATCTCTAGTAATGTCCCCTAGAGGCTTTCAGCAACGGGAGACAAAATTAAGCCTAGTATTACTGTCAATTACACAGACATCATTTGTCTATATTTATCTCCCTCTTTAGGAAACTAAAAAGCACACAGAAGTGTGGTTTTCAGTGCAAGCTATATGTTCCTGTGAGGAAATAATTTTATATTATGTTTAGAAACAAAATTATTTTGTGTTTAAACTTGTTCTAATTTGTACATTCTGGAGCAAGAAGATGTTTCTTTCAACAGCACACTTTCCATCTGCAGAGGCCAGATGTTAATCTACAGGAAAACTGAAGTGGTTAGTAAGAAGACCAATTATACGCAGAGAACAAATATCTAAGTGGTGGGGGGAGAGGATGGGGAGGCTTAAAATGGAATTAATTGGTGAGGCAGTTTTGGAACTCCAGCTTATCCGGGGCAGGGGGAGAGATGGTAGTGGGTTTGGGGTTTTTTTGTTGTTGTAATTTGGCTTTTTTTGCCCATACCAAGAATAGAATGCCATACAGGATTGTTCTTCCTGGGCATTTCCTTCCCTCTGAGTTGAAGAATCATTCCAGGGAGTGAGTGAAAGTACTGTAAAAATGAACTGAGAATTCTTAGAAGGCAATTTGAAATTTTACCTCCATTAAAGATGAAAACTGAGTATGTCTAGGATTAGACATGGGTCAAATTCTAGCTTTGCCACTAGGATGGAGACTGCCCACTATTCACAGTATCCTTTCTCCTCTTCTTCTCTGGAATAATAACACCCCCAGGGTCCTGGCAGGGCCCATGACTGCCTATGTACAGCCTAGGTTTCCCAGCCTGCTCTGCAGGCAGATGTGGCTGTACCATTATGTTTGAGCCAATGGAAGTGTCGTGTGCATCTTCTGGGTCCTTCAAAATGCTTTCATCCTCATTTTCTGGCTGGAAAATGGCAATGACTGGAGCAATGTGGGAAGCCGTGGGCTGAGGATAGCAGAATGACCCTACTGGACAAGGACTCCTCCCTTCTCGGCTCTAAGAGAGAAATACACTTATCTATCTTACATAAACCACTGTACTTCGGACTCTCTCTGTTATAGCAACCTAGCCTGTACCCTACTAATACAGCCATTCACTATCTGTGCGACTTGGGGCAAGTTATTTAACCTGTCTAAGCCTCAGTTTCCTCATCTATAAAATGGAATCACAGCACTTATTTCATTAAGTGCTAAGAGAAATAAACAGGTTAAGAGATGTAATGTGCTCAGTCCTGCGCCTAACATGCAAAAAAGTGTGCTCAACAAATAGTAAATAATGCTAGCAAAAAGAAAGATCTACTTGGGAAGCTTCTTTCAAAGGCCTCTGACATCAAGCAGCTATTGTGCCCATAAAGCCTCAAAGGTAGAAATGTGTATCTGGTTTTGAGGGTTCCTATGGGTAACAACATATTCAGAGACAATCAGAGCTATCTTATATTTTAGCCCAGGAGAAGAATTAAGATTAAACAATGCTTAATTATAGTTTAGCAAACTGTGTCTAAATCATTATTTATTTAAATCTTTAAGAGACCTTGCTCTATATATTATTAAATGTCATCCAATACTAGCTATTTCTTTATGCTTAGTTGACTGCGTCGCAAGTTTGTATAAAATATGGCTGAGTAGAAAGGTACATAACTATGTTGCCGGACCACCTCACCAAGGTAAGCTGAGAAAGAGACACACAAATCAGCTGGCATTATCCAGCTTGATGCAAAGAGTTCTATAGTCAATGGAGCCCATGGCCTACTTCTTCCTTGCACACATTTCCTCCCTTTGGTGTAAGCATCAATTATTGGCCCTCTGGCATTGTAGATTCTTTTTCTCTTTTGTTGGTGGCACATGGTTAGACTGTACTCTTACGATTTCTGCAACCTTGAGATTTGCTGACTAATAGAGTTGAGATCCTTGGAACTAAGATAAGATGACTACAATGATTCCAGGGCTCTTACGGATTTTACACGTCACAAGATGCGGAACAACTATGAGATTACATCACCCAGCTGAGGCCAGCATTGCTGAAATAGCAGCAGGGATCATATTACCAGGCTCACCTCCCTCCATCCACCGTGATAATGTCCCACTGCTTATAAGGGGAGGTAAGTTACTAAGGGAGGCTGAACCAGAAGTCAGTGATAAAAGATGGGAGTTCTGGTGTAATTCTATGCAGAAGCCATGCCTTAGGACAGAGAGGTCAAAGCTCAAGAACTATATCTATACAGAAGCAATATCAATATTCACAAACATAAACCTAAGAATAAAAAACCACCTCTAGTACATTGGTTTCAAGAACCCAAGGCTTTAGAACAACAGCAAAAATCACTGCACTAGGGAAGCAACAAACAACTCAGGGCCTTCATTCTTGCTGTACTTCCCTGAATTGTTACTTACAGGTTCCCGGCCATCCATGGCTTCCATCCAGAGCCTCCGGTCCTCTTCCGACAACGCTTGCATGGTGATAACCCCTGGCCTGCAGAGAAAGGAGGGACATGGATATGAAACCAGTGCCACATGTACAGAGATTGGTGAAGGCGAATCTTAAACATCCACTCAAAAGAGTCAGTGGTTGCTAGGGTTAACGACACAAAGAGGGGTACAACCCTCGGCTTTACTAAGCCACCTTCTAGTCTCAGAAAAGATGGCCCAAATTCCTCTCAGTTAGCCCATCTCCCTCAGAGAGGCAGAAACACAGAAGATATGACCCTATTTTACAGGTAAGGGACATAGAGGAGTTAAGTGGTTCCTTTAGACACTGTTCAATTCCTTGAAATCTTATTCATTTCGAGACCTCAAAATGCTTAACAGAGTATGATACTCACAGTAGAAATGCAATAAATGTTTGTGGAAGTGAATGGAATTACTGGACTCAAGACAAAAAAGAGGAGAAAACATCCAAGCTGGAGGCATGCTTGTCTCCTAATATCTAGTCCACTGCTTCTAAATTGCTTCAGACATGGAGAAGTTTTATGGTGGTCATCATCTTGGTAGTTATGATTAAATGTGCACAGTCTTTTTAAAAAATGAATACTTAATCATGTCAGGTGCTAAGTGCTTTACATGCATGAGATCATTTCACTCACTGAAATCGGCTTGCTCCCTAAACCTGAGCACAAGCCCTCCAGAAGACACGTACACAATATCAAATGGGTTTTGTTCAGTTCCCATCACAAATGGTACTCCACAAGAAAAAGAGACTGTGCCATAAAAACGACCTTGGGAGAAGAGGTTGAAAGCCCTCTACGCTCATTAAAGCAGGAGTTACTCATTTAGGGTGAAGATAAATCCCAGAGTGTCCCCAAACCACCTCCTCCTCTCCCTCAAATGTATGTGGATTTTTCTGTAGAAACAATTCAAATTGTCCATCAAATTCTCAGAGAGAACTGCAACCCTCAAAAAGTTAAGAATTGCTAGTTAAAAACCATCCTCTTTAAAATTTGAGACAGCCTAAAAAGGAGGAAGAAGTCCACTGAGCAAGAAAGTCTGATTCCTGTCTGAGTGCACAAACACTGCGAATGAACATACGACAATACGGTATGAAAACTACACAGGCTGAGCAACACCCTTAGCAGCACAAGCCTGGGCCCCATAAGCACCCAAGCTTGCTCATTCTCACCCGCCCATCATCTCCGCTTCTGGCTTATAGCTATAGTTCCAATGAATATGCTAAACCTATTTGTTTAACATAATTTAAAAGTCACATTTGATTCTTTTCATTAATCATCCCTCAACATCTCCTTAAAAAAAACTTTAGAGCTGTGGGCATGTAAATACAGATGGGTTGAGGATACAAGGGGCATGGAGTAGGGGTGTGAATGTATGAGGGTATAAACGTGTGTGGGGTCGAGAGAGACAGAGAGAGAGGGAAAGCATGCAAACAAGCAAGAGAAGGGAGTGAGAGAACAAGCAAGAGACAGAAAGGGGAGTGGGGGTGTGTGTGGGTGAGAGGAGGGGTGGGCAGCTAGACAGGCGGGCGTGTTGATGACGGTGGAACACTGATCCTAAGAGGATGGTCATTCCCATGAAGGTCACACTGGGACTGGCACCATAATACAAAGATGACTCAGAGGATGGAATAACTCCTCTGAGTTATCTGAAGGTGCTCCATGAGCACCTTCCAGGACTCTCCCGCCTCTTCTCAGAAATTCTCATTCTCAGACCCAACCAAGTGCCCACTTCCCACCATCAGCTCATTCAGTGTGCCAGAGTCAGTGGGCATCTGCAGACAGCTGACAGTGGTGGCTCCACAGAACTGACTCTGTGGCTTGAAGGCACGATGGACTGATTCTACCCTTCCACCTTTCTCTAAAGACCAAGTACGACATCTTAATAGCTTTGAAACAAAAAGCCTCTGTAGCTACTGTCTATTGCAGAACTCTCAAGTCCCCGATTCTGGGTCTTTCAGTGTTGCTGTAGGTGCTGCTTCTGTACCACCTGCTTCAGAATCAGACATTCCCTTAACATGGAGACTCCAGCCCAACCCCACTCCACTCAATCTGAACTGGGCTATGCCTGGGAACTTGGATTTTAACCAACTCCCCAGGTGATCTTGGTGCAGAGTTAAGTTTGAGGCCCACACCCTGGGCTGTCCACTCCATCCCCACTCTTTTCCTTCCTGTTCCCCTTGCCCTAGAGTGCAAAGTTACCCTCCTTTCTGCAGTGAGGTCAAGGAGCCAACATGTCTCTAGTTCGTTTCCTGCTAGTGGCCCACCAGCAAACAGTGAGATCACAAGAGCTGTCTGCATACCACGGTCTCAGGGGCCCACAGATATTACATCAACTTCATGGCACACAGTGTGAGATTTCCACCCCGGGCCACAAAGAGGAAGTTCGACAACCTCAGAGGCTGTGAAGGGTGGGCCACTTGGCCTTGGTAACCAGGAAAGTCAACAGGATTTGTTTTCATTCCAAGAAGAAATATCAAAATGCAAGTTCTTTTCCACATGTAGTCTTGTTCCCTTTTGCAGGGGGAGTGGGGTAGGGGATGGATGCACATGTCTTGCATGTGAATTTCCAAGAACAAAGGTAAAAAGGGTGAACTATCTTTATTCTGGAGTAAAACTGTAACTTTCTTTCCATATCTACCTTCCTCATGCCCTACTAATAACTATCCCTCAAAACAAAATAAAACAAGCAAAACCCTCAACGACCCTCCACTTTGCAGGTCAGTCCCTATAAACTAGCATACTTTGAGACCTGCTCTTACAGGATGTCAATTTAGTTCATGTTTGAAATGCATGTGGTTCTTCACAGCAAAAAAATGGGCAGGGCTGGGGAGACAGAGGAGAGAGAGATTAAAAGTAGGAGGATAGGTCGGGTGCAGTGGCCAACGCCTATAATCCCAGCACTTTGGGAGGCCGATATGGGTGGATCACGAGGTCAAGAGATCAAGACAATCCTGACCAACACAGTGAAACCCCATCTCTACTAAAAAATACAAAAATTAGCTGGGCATGGTGGCACGTGCCTGTAGTCCCAGTTACTCGGGAGGCTGAGGCAGGAGAATCGCTTGAACCCGGGAGGTGGAGGTTGCAGTGAGCCGAGATCACGCCACTGCACTCCAGCCTAGCGACAGGGCGAGATTCCGTCTCAAAATAAAAAAAGTAGGAGGATAATATGGAATGAGGAAGGGAACATATAAAACAATGAAAGAGAAATGGAGTAAATGATCAGAGCTCTTTTTACCTCTACAAAGAATTGTGAGCCTATTAGACTCAGTACAATAAAAGAACAGTAATAAGTATAACCCAGCAGTATGTGCCAGTTGCTGTGCTAAGCACTGTATATAAATTAATTCACCTAATCTTCACAGCTACATCATGAGAAAAGTATATTCTTATTACTCTCCTTTAACAGATGAGAAAACCAAGGCTCAGAGAGGTTAAGTATCTTGTCCACAATCACAGAGCTGCCAAGATACACAGCCAGGATGTGAACACAAGCATTCCAACCCTTAACTCTTGTGCATAATGCCATGGCAAATGTGATGGCGCCACAGCCCCCAGAAAGCTCATACTGACCACCCAAGTCCTCTGGTGTCAAAATCAGCCACACACTTCTGCAAGTGCCTTAATGAGCTCCTGCTTGGGATTAAATAAGATTGAATGATAAAGAGCTCTGTAAAAACCTAACGTGCTTCATAAATATGAGGGCTTACAACACTACTCTAGGCGAACAGTTAATCCAAAACAAGAATCCAACAGCATCCAGAGTAACTGGGGCTTACTTTCTACAGCTGTGGTTCTCCATGTTTTATCTATCTTAAAAATACTCAAGAGATGGAAAGGCAATTGGTTTTTCTTAAAAAAACACAAAAAGTCATAATCATAAAGAAAACATATTGAAAAATTGGACTTCACCAAAATGAAGAACTTACACTCATCGAAAGATGAATTTAATTACTTAATTACTTTTATTTTTAAAAAAGTCAAACCAGAGTGAGAGAAGATATTTGTAATATCTATCTCCTACAAGACTCATATCCAGAATATGTAAAGAATGCCTAAAAATAAATAAGAAAAAATGAACCACCCAATACAATAAATACTTGAATAAGCACTTCATAAAAGAGGACATCCAAATGGCCAATAAGGCTAAGAAACAGAGCCCAAACTGATTACTTATCAGGGAAATGTGATTAAAACCACAATGAGATATAACAAGCACCCTCCTGAATAGAGGGCATTAAAAGGCCACCAATAACCAGTACTGGCAAAAAATGTAGAGTAACTGGGACTCTCATACATCGCTGGTGGGAGAATAAGTTGATGGAACTACTTTGGCAATATCTGCTAGAACTAAACATACACCTGCCCTATGACCTAGCAATTATACCTCTACATATATACTCAAGAGAATTGAGTACATATGTCCACCAAAAGGTACATTCAAGAATACCTGCAGTTTTATTTAGAATAGCCAAAAATTGCAAAAATAACAACAAATAAATACTCATTGATAAATGGATAAACTGTTGTATATTTGAACAATGGGACACCATACAACAATTTTTTTAAAAAGAATCAACCACTGCTACATGCAACAACATGAATGAATCTCAGAGATATAACGATGAGGGAAAGAAGCCAGACACAAAAGATTATGTGACTGTGTGACTCCACTTCTATGATGTTCAAATACTTGCAAAATTCATCTATGGCAACAGAAGTCAGAAGAGCGATTTTTTTTTTTTTTTTTTTTTTGAAAAAGAGATATGAGCAACAACTGAAAAGCGGCACAAGGGTATCTCCTGGAGTGACAGAAACATTCTATATCTTCATCTGGATGGTCACACAGTTGTGTGTGTATGAAAAGTTATTAAAATACAGACTTTGGATTCATGCATTTTACTGTGATTACACCTCAGTAAAAATTGTTTTAAATATCCAAGAGCTATGACTTCTCATCAATAACTTAGGCTCACTAGTTATTCTGATTCTAGTGCTTCCTAGATGTATAACCATGGCAGACTAG